ACAAGGAATATTGAAATCTATATTTCAGACAACCATGAATCATATTTATATTATCTGTCTGTAGCAGTCTTAGTCCCATACTCTTTAAGTTCATATAACTTGTTAATCATGGAAGAAATGGTACCAATTAACTCAAACTGCTGACATGGCTTATCTAAACTTGCTTAGTATGTACATCGTTTATTTGTAAAAGCAAGGCTGATTATGCAAAGCATTTTTTCCAACATTCAGTTGACATTCTGTATGTCATAAATATCATAAAAAATCATTGCTGAATGTTTTTATAGCAATTTACAAACTTTTGGGTTATTTGTACTACCATCTTAAAGGCTTAGGTTGGAAAAAATACCAGAAGTTTCACTAAGCCCCTGTAGGTACCGTAATAAAACATTGCAGTTTTTACCACATGCAGTATGAAGAAGTCACAGTTATAATGCAGCCGGTGCCATTGCCTTAATCTAGATATCACATGGTTTTGTGGGGTTTTCACTCCCTGTAGCTTGGCAGTAACAGATTATGCAAAATAGCTTACATATTGTTCTTTAATTGCTCATAGTTTCTGTATGCATTTATGACTTGTCAGATTTGATTTATTACCTCCCTGTGTTCATTCATTTGGCAAGGCTTTGTGTTTTTTGACGGCCTTTTTTTTTTGTCCGGGTGAATCTTTTCCTGCACAGCTAGGCATGATGATTTTTTTTTTATTTGTCTAAGTAACATTGGGAGGCAATTAACAAGTGGCACAGTGTCTTCTCAACTTAATTATAAAGCCATTTATTCATTGGAAAGCAGATGGAATAATGACACTGTCTGATAATGATTTTTGGGGGCGCATGCGCAATGCGCCCCCAATGTAATAACGACAAATTCAGATTTACTATGATGTGAACACAATTAGTCAGCTACCTACGCTAAGCAAAATAGTTCCAAAACTTCGCAGTAACTCCAAAATCATAGTTCCCTATCTATTTTAAAATTGACTGGCCAATTTTGTACTAAATTTAGCAATCGTCTTTTAAAATTGTATGTATATTTTTGCTTTACGCGATTTTAATATTACTACGCCAGCGGTCGATCATAGCCAAAGTACTTGCATAAATATAGTACAAATTACATGTAGTCACAAGTTAATAAAGTGTCATAGAACTCAAAAATTTAGCAAGTAATGGAATACGGATTTCAGATCAGCTAACTTTAAAGCTTATAGGGCCTAATGCTTCATAAGTGTAAATTTAAGAAAAACAATGCATGCGTATGAATACGAACTATTTTCGCCCTAACGTCATTTTACCGCAATCGCCATTGTTTACAAGTTCATCCGTGAAAGATAGAGACGTTTATATAGAAGTTCCACGTGTTAAAACGAGTTGTAAGTTTTATCTTACAAAAACCTTATCTCCCATTTACCTTAATGTTGTATAACTTTGCTTGTTTTGCATTTATCCATTTATCAGTGGCGAAATCGTCGTCAAATCGTTGGCGATTCTGGTTGCTTACAAAAAATACAAGGACTTAATACCGGATATGACTTTAAATACAACGTTATTCAAGATGACTGATGTTCATTGTTTATATTTCATAACGTTGATATTTAAGTTGCAATCAAAAGCTGTATTTTTTACAAATTTTCTTCACAATCGGCCATTATCGGGTAAAGCTTTTTTGTACTGAATTGACCTTATCAAATTTTAAGTTTAGCAGTTCCTTCCCTTGAAAGTCCTCCCTCAAACCATTTCCTACCCAGACATTTTTGACCCATTTTTTTTTTATATATTTTTTGGAGGTGAGTTATTTACATCTAGCGTATACATATTGTTGATGCTTACCTTACTGGCATGCGAGCAGTTCCCGTACAAAAATCGTAGTGACTTAAACATTATTTTTTGTTACGCTCACTCACCACAATTTGAATGTTACACATCAATATTCAGCTCGTCACACAAATCATGGAAATTCCATCATGTTCTAAACATAGTATAACCCTTAGTTATGAGGCCTCATATGGGGTACCGAAATTATCCATTATTTTGTATGAAGAGAAGTAGTTCCCGTACATAAAATCTAACCCATTATAATTATACAATTTTATTATATCGGACCTATTTTTCATTTACAATTGTTGAACAGACCATTATCTAAGAGATAAATAGATGTAATTCAGGAAATAGAGCGTAGACTAAACGCGGGTATCAATTACCCGGTACCGTTACCCCAACGCATTCACATGCAATAGCATGCTTGTATGCATTATATTTTACGCATCAAAGCCATAAAATTATTATATATAGTAATATTGGTCAACATTCTGATAATTAAACAAGTTTACATTACATTGCCTACTTATTTGTAAACAGGTGGTATTAGTGGAAAACCCTTTAACAAGCCTCACGTGTAAGTATTTTTGCGCATGCGCACAAGGACGGAATCCCCCAGAGAAAACAAGGTCACGTTTTGACGACGCACAGGTGAAAGTGATTTAAAATGAGATTTTATATACGTACTGCCGAACTGACACTTAGATTTTGTCTCGTTTATGTATCTGCTTGATTTGAAATGAATTTTTGAAGAATGCAAGTAAAAATCAAGCGTTTAAATGAAAAATACGGGTACTGCTTCTGTACGGGAACTGCTCGCATGCCAGTACAGCTTTTTTAAATAAAAAATATACAAGTTCAGTAATGATGTCTTATTACATTTTCTCAAAGAATGAACTGGATCACGGTGCATAATCCATATTTGTACCCTCTTTGCGAAATCTGCTGAAACGGTACCTATCATTCACTGCTTAAAACAAACCAGCGGTGGATAACAATCATGTAAAATTTCATTGTAATAAGGAAAAGAGCTGAGGTATGACACTTAGAAACCACAGAACACTAGATTGTTTTATTTATGTGCTGATTCATCATGTGCCAGTCTCTCATGTACTGCAACTTCATAATAAGCTAAAAAAAATCGACATGTCTTGCCTTGTCCATCACCTCGGCTTACAGACACTTTACCCCCCAGACACTTCACCCTAGGCCCTTTTTTTGCAGACACTTCACCCCTCATTTTAAGAAATTTGAGTAAGGTTATAATTATATTTACACTGGGGATTAGCATTGAAAAACCCTGACATTTGCTTAGTTCTGTGTAACATCTATACGCTACCAGTACAATTTTTTTTGGAAAAAATGCGTTTTGACTCAAATTGATACTACATAACTGACAGGTATTCATGCCACATGGTTAATTTAGAATTTTATCCAGGGAGACATGAGAATTATGCATAATATTTATACACATTTAAAGTTAAAACCATGCATAATATATTGATTTCTTATTGGAGTGAAAAAAATGAGTACATGTACATAAATAATGTTCGGAAGTATAAATGAACTAGGTACAAATATTGCTCTGTCAGATGTAGTTATACTTGGTTTTTATCACATATCACTTATCAATATGAAATCATCCATTTTTATATATGCCAATTTTGGATGGGAATTTTGACAGTAATTTTGGGACTTTAAAAATAAAACATTTGAAAATTTGCTGTCTTTTTTTATTGGGAATGTAAATAGTTTTATAAGGGAAAAATGCTGTTCTATTACAAATAGAATAGATAATAGTTACAAATACTACAAATAATATATCAGGGATTGAAAAACGAAAAACAACAACAACAACAATGCTTAAAAAATATAAATTTCCTACATGTTCTGACTCATTTTTCTTTTTTGAAGACAATTTTTCTTTTTTGAAGACACTGTTTAACTTACTTCTTTCTGGCTAAACATTTGCCAAATATTGCATTGTGACATTTTAAAAAAATTTTGTGGAACATACTGGAATCGCCGCACGGGCTTTTAGTAAGTTTTTACAAAATAGAATCAGACAGTATTAAGCATTGCATTCAACAAATCAACATCAGTTTTGCCCATTAAACACAGGGGAATTATTTTGTGCTCTGTCCTACTAGTAAAACTTGAAAAATGGTTTCAAAAGAATTGAATTCAATTGAAATTTGATTAATTTATGCTAGAAATTTCACACGTCCTGCAGGACGGGCATTTTTGGGAGATTAACTTGTCCAGAGTCATTTTTACTCGTATTTATCATTTATGAGCGGACAAGTGGATTTGTCAAGCCTTGATTAACTGCAAGTGATTAACCACATTATTTCAATAAAACTTATACTACATGTAATTACATTGTTTGAGATAATAAATCATTTGACTTACTAGTGAAATAAGTTTAAGACTGCATAATATTGATATAAAAGTGAATTCAGTTAGTGGGTTCCAAACTACAGGTGGAAACTGTTCTATTTTCTATTCAAGTTTTTTTTTGATGAAACAAAACTTAATCCTGACAACAGTTATATATGCTTAACAGTGTTGTATTTGATTATTTTTAAAATCTGTTGAAAATATTCATATTAAATTCATGAAAAGAAGTTTAAAAAAAAGAGAAAGAAATGAGATTTGGGCATAATTTTTAAGAAGGTAAAGATACTTCAATGAAAAAGTAAGATAGTAACAAAAATCAATCAAACGAAAAAACTCATTTAAATTTCAAGTTGTTCCTGACATGTCTAAGTTGTTTCCTGACATGTCAGAACAAAATTAATAATTTTTTTTTTTTGAAATCTGGTAACCTCGAGCTATGTTCTCTACCGATTGAGCTATGATTCCGACAATTATTACTCACTTTTACAATAATTATTGTTAGTCAATCATATCTGGACATGCAACATTCAACTTACCCATATATATGCCTTTAAAAAGGACTGTTTCGACTATAAATACTTGAAATTATAAAGAAATTGCCCTATTATTCTTTACAGTCTATTGTGTATAGGCTAAATTTAGGAGACACTTGTGAAAATACGCAATGAAAATGAATAATTACATTGAAAATACAGGAAATGAAAATGAGCATTTTACTTTATCAATATTTCTTAATGTTTCAATGAAGTATATAATAAATTAAAAGAACTATTGTATTGATTAGGAAAAAGTTTTTATTTCAGGTTGTGAATAAAGGCTTGTTTGTTAGATTTCAATTGTGGCTCAGTTGGTTGTTTGCTGAGAAGCTGTGAAACATAATTATACAGGCCATTAAGGTAAAAACATGTTAGCTTTTTTTCTGACTTTGATATATATATCCATCTTACTGTAGCATAACAAAGAGAACAATAGAATTCATTCCATAACAATAGAATATGGGGCCATGGCCCTTTAATAAACAAAAGGAAAAAACAATAGTAATGGTCCTTAATCCCTTTTCGGTCACACGGGCAAACATTTTCTTCAAGTAAGACCATACATTATATATGTTAGAAAGTTAAAAAGGAAATGTTCATTGTTATATATATATTTGGTTTGAAAATCTTTGTATATTTATAATTTTGACCAAATAGTTTCTCAAAGTATTTATTTGACATTAACTGACATAATTAGTGGCATATGTTTCTAACTTCTTTTCCAGGAGGTTTTTGTCAGATTGATGAATGTGAAATTAAGAGGACCCATTTTGAGGATGCTTTTTATGAATGGAATCACGAGAGATGAAGTCTAAAATGTGATACTGTCAATGTGACTAACTTGAAGTAAACAGATGACACAATGTTTTTTCAATGTCATGGGCATATAATGAAGAGGTACATGATTATTTGTATACACTTTTCCTTAATAAAATACTTTCTAAATGTTTGACATGTTTAAAGGCCAACACAGGGCTCAAGGTTTATTTAAAATCTGTAAGCTTGGCACTTAGAGCCAATTGTATATTAATTATTTCAATATCTTTTCATTATGCAATCTGTTGATAATTTAGGAACAAAAGTCGATAGCAAAAAACATTTTAGCCCGTGTCATGACCAAACCAACATAATGGGCATCCGCCCAGTCTGATCAGGATCCATACTGTTCGCTATCAGTTTCTCTACTTGTAGTAAGGTTTGTAAGCGAACAGCATGGATCCTGATCAGACCAACCTGGTCTGGATCCATGCTGGTCGCAAACCCATTATGTTGGTTTTGTCATGACATGGCTCATTTGTGACATGTAATTCACTTAAATTGTATTTTGAAATTCAAAGTTTTCATTCCTTTCACCTCAAGGCATTTGACATTGAAATAGTGACTTCATGTAGTAAGCAGTCAGTAAAACCTAATCATCTCATCTTGACTTAGCTGTATATAGATTATCAGAATCACTCACATTTACAAATTTTATATGACTTTAAAAAGTTGTGTTACTAAGCAAATAAATAGATTTAATTGGGGTGACCATAGTCAAAGTAATGCACCTAAACCACTTACCTTTAAAGATATACTATGCTCATCAGTAAAATATTTTAATCATGAAAATGTATTGAATTCTATGCAATTCTTTTTGAATATGTCTAATTTGAATGAATAAACTATGCATTGGAAGCCATGTTCCTTCTTACGAGACAAAAAAAAATTTGGTCCTTCTTAAAAAAACTGTCAGTTTCCTAACAACACTATATATTTATATTGTGACCAACTATAGCATGTGGTGTTTAACATTACATAGCTACTTTATGTAAACACAAACATGCTTATTTTATGTTTACAAAGAGACTGTGTAGCAATTATCAATGTTCTATTATATTTAATATGGATTCTTTAATGTGAGAAAGCAATCCAGCTAGCTTTAAAAAAAGGCGGTGGTTCTACTCAGATGCTCGTTTGTGAATCTGATCAGAGGGGTTGAGCTCTGGCATTGGTCGCGCATTTTTTGGTTTTATACCTTTATAAATCAGAGTAATTCTAACAGAAAAATGCTGAAAAAAGTTAAACATACAAGTATGGAATATCTCGGTCAGCAATAAACTTTTTCAAAACTCTATTTCAGAAAACAGAGATGCTTGTTTGACAGATACAGTAATAGTAGGAGTTATGAGGGAAGATAGAATGCAGTGATAACTATATTGAGGCACCACTTCATCACCAAGAACATGAAATGAATTATCAATGTTTTCAATGTGTTTGAACACCCATTTTAAATAATACAGCTCAGAGTGAATTTTTCAAAATAATTAATTCTGTTTTCAAAGTTTTTTATTTAGATGTTAGTTGATCTTGTCAAGTACTTAATTTTTTTAGGGATGGCAAACAATTACTAAAATCAATACTCGAGTACTCGGTCATTTAGAGTATTCGGTTACTGGGATGATTTCCAATGATCTTTAAATTTTTATCACACAATATCACACCGTCTGCATGCTACCCTTCATTTTCTATTTTAATTCATAGAATTTGTAGCTATAAATAGGATTGCAAGAAATACATATAATAAATATAAGCATAAGAAATGTCATTGACGGCATTTATTATATACCTATAATTTTCTTCCTAAAAACACAGGATTATCTTGAAGCGCAAATAGTTTTTCAACGGTTAGAAAATTCTGTATTATGTTAGAGACAAATACAGTACCATATATGAAAGGCCTGGACTATTTTTATGCTCCCCAAAAATTTCGGGTGAGCATATAGTCGCCGCCTTGTCCGTCCGTCCGTCCATCCCCTTTTCTTGTCCGGGACTTAACTTTGAAACAACAACAGGTATTAACATGAAACTTTGTAGGTAGATAGATCTAATTGAGTAGGTGTGCAGTGCACAAGAACCGTAACTCTGCCTTGTCTAATTTTTGAATTATTCCCTTTGTTTATTTTTACACTTTGAACTTTGTCCGGGACATAACTCTAAAACTATAAGAGGTATCAACATGAAACTTTGTAGGTAGATAGATCTAATTGAGTAGGTGTGCAGTGCACAAGAACCGTAACTCTGCCTTGCTTAATTTTTGAATTATTCCCCTTTGTTTATTTTACACTTTGAACTATGTCCGGGACATAACTCTAAAAGTATAAGAGGTATCAACATGAAACTTTGTAGGTAGATAGATCTCATTGACTTGGTATGCAGTGTACAAGAACTGTAACTCTGCCTTGCCTAATTTTTGAATAATCCCCCTTTGTTTATTTTACACTTTGAAATTTGTCCGGGACATAACCTTTAAACTATAAGAGGTATCAACATGAACTTTGTAGGTAGATAGATCTCATTGACTTGGTATGCAGTGCACAAGAACCGTAACTCTGCCTTGCCTAATTTTTGAATTATCCCCCTTTCTTTATTTTACACTTTGAACTTTGTCTCTAAAACTATAACAGGTATCAACATGAAACTTTGTAGGTAGATAGATTTCATTGAGTTGGTAAGCAGTGCACAAGAACTTTAACTCTCCCTTGCCTAATTTTTGAATTATCCCCCTTTGTTTATTTTTTACAACTTTGAACTTTGTCCGAGACATAACTCTCAATGTAAAAGAGATATCAACATGAAACTTTGTAGGTAGATAGATATCGTTGAGTAAGTTTGCAGTGCACAAGAACTGTAACACTGTCTTGCCTACTTTTTGGAGTTATTGCCCTTTGATCATTTTGACACTTTGAACTTTGTCCGGGACATTACTCTAAGCAGTGGCTTAAGAATTATTACTCTGCCTTGCCTTATTTTGAAGTAATTGCCCTTTGTTTATTTTTACTTTTTGACTTTTGTACGAGACATAACTTTAAAACTATTAGAGATATCAACATGAAACTTTGTAGGTAGCTAGATATAATTGGATAGAACTGCAATGCTTAAAGAACCTAAAGAAAGCCTGGTCTAATTTTGGAGTTTATTACCCTAATTTCATTTTTACACTTTGAATTTTACCTTGGACATAACTCTGATATCATCAGGCAACTTTATAGATGGATAGATCTAATTGAATAGAAGTGCAGTGCAAAAAAAAACATAACTCCGCTTTGCCTAATTTTGGAGTTTTTGCCCTTTGTTCATTTTTTATACTTTCCTGTGTCCAGAACCTTCTCGGGCAGCATCACCCGGTTCAACCGGTTCTTGTTGACGTTGGTTCTGATCTTAGCTGTGTATAACGTAGTATATGGAAACGGCAACCAAAATAATAAAAGGTGTGGCTGGTTTTGCACAAATTACGTATTCATCTGTCAGTCATAATTTATTTCTTGACAGCTACATTTCTTTTTCTGAAATTTCTTATATAAGTGTAGTATAATGAATATCATTTATACTTTCAAATGAAAAGGTATATTATTAAGGAAAATTATGTTTGTAGTAGCTTTCTGAGGCTATGCATTTTTCTACTTGCAATGTTGGAAAATTGTTATCTAGCTCGCCCTTTAGTCTTGCAAGATATCAATTTCCCACCGCTGCTCATAGCAAAATAAAAAGCCTCAGAGAGCTACTACAACATAATATTCTGTATATATATTTTTTTATAATTAACAAGTTTGGGCTATCCTTGAACTTTTTTTTTATTTAATCAAGTTTGATTTTTTTAAAATATATTTATATGAATGCATGCAGCTTTGAAATAGATTTTACTTATGTATATTTGGCAGCAATTTCACATGTAGCTCTTCGAAAAAAAATCACTTGAGCAAAAAAAAATTTATAGGCCTAAAGTGATACCCGTTCTGTCATCATCAGTTTTTGGTTTTTAGCTCACCTGAGCTTGCTCAGGGTGAGCTTTAAGGATCGGTGAATGTCCGTCGTCCGTCCACAATTGCTTGTGAACACTCTAGCAATCGCATTTTTGCCTCAATCATCATCAAACTTGGTCAGGATGCTTATCTAGTTGAAAGCATGGATGAGTTCGAACATGAGTCATCTCGGATGAAAGACTAGGTCACAAGAGCTAAAAAAAAAAAAACCTTGTGAACACTGTAGAGGTCACATTTTTGACCCAATCATCATTAAACTTGGTCAGGTGATAGCTCGGATGAGTTCGAACATGGGTCATCTCTGATGAAAAAGTAGGTCACAGGAGCTATAAATAGAAACACCTTGTGAACACTCTAGTGGTCACATTTTTAAACCAATCATCATCAAACTTGGTCAGAATGCTTGTCTAGTCAATTGCTTGGATGAGTTTGAACATGGGTCATCTCTGGTGAAAAACTAGGTCACAGGAGCTAAAAATAGAAAAACCTTGTGAACACTCAAGTGGTCACATTTTTGACCCAATCATCATCACACTTTGTCAGGATGCTTATCTGGTTGATAGCTCGGATGAGTTCGAACATGGGTCATTTCGGATGTAAAACTAGGTCACCGGAGCTATAAATAGAAAAACCTTGTTAACACTCTAGCAGTCACATTTTTGCATCAATCATCATCAAACTTGGTCAGGATGCTTATCTAGTTGATATCTTGGATGAGTTTGAACATGGGTCATCTCAGATGAAAAAGTAGGTCACCGGAGCTAAAAAATAGAAAAACATTGTTAACAATTTAGCGGTCACATTTTTGCATCAATCATCATCAAACTTGGTCAAGATGCTTGTCTATGTGATAGCTCGGATGAGTACAAACATGGGTCATCTCGGATGAAAAAGTAGGTCACCGGAGCTAAAAATAGAAAAAACCTTTTTAACACTCTAGCAGTCACATTTTTGCATCAGTCATCATCAAACTTTTGTCAAGATGTTTGTCTAGTTGATAGCTCGGATGAGTTTGAACATGGGTCATCTTGGATGAAAAAGTAGGTCACCTGGGGTAGAAATAGAAAAACCTTGTTAACACTCTTGTGGTCACATTTTTGCATCAATCATCATCAAACTTGATTAAGATGCTTGTCTAGGTGATAGCTCGGATGAGTTCGGAAATGGGTCATCTCGGATGAAAAACTAGGTCACAGGAGCTAAAAATAGAAAAAACCTTGTTAACACTCTAGTGCGTCACAATTTTGACTCAATTGTTAGCAAACTTGGTCAGGAAACTTGCCTACGTCATTGCTGGGAATAAATCGAAAACATGGGACATCTCGGATGAAAAAACTAGGTCACAGGAGATAAAAATAGAAAAATCTTGTTAACACTCTAGTGGCTACTGTTGTGATCCAAATATTCTGTTAATTGGTCTAAAAGTTTGTTTTGATGATTTCTAAGTCAAGATCCAACATGGGTCATCTTGATGAAAAACTAGGTCACACGCCCAAATATGGAAAAGCCTTGTTAACATTCTATCTGGTCACATTTTTCGACTCAATTATCATCAAAATTGGTCAGGATGCTTGTCTAGGTAATTGCTTGGATGAGTTCGAAATCGCATGTGAAACTAGGTCACCGGAGCTAAAATAGAAAAATCTTGTTAACACTCTTGTTGCTACTGTTTTGATCCAAGTATCCTGGAAATTGGTCTGACAGTTTGTTTTTGATGATTTCTAGGTCAAGTTTGAATATGTGTCACCTGAGTTAAAAACAAGGTCGCACTGCTCAAATATGGATAATCCTTGTTAACACTGTAGTGGTCACATTTTTGACTCACCTGTCATGAGACTTGGTCAGAATGTTTGTCTAGGTAATTGTTTGGATGAGTTTGATAAGTCAGGTGAGCGATCTAGGGCTATCATGGCCCTCTTGTTTTGTATGGTTTTATTTAAGAAATATTTTGTTCCAGTTATTTACAGATGTTTGTATGATTATTGGATTAAAGTTAAAGTACACTGATTTTCTTGTTATACACTACAATCCATTGTAACATCTTGAAATGTTTTCCATGATATATTACATATATATTTATATATGGAATAACTATATGGTCTCAACCATGACTTTGGTAGTTTTAGCTCGACTATTTGAAAAATATGAGAGCTATTGTAGTAGCCAGCGTCCGCGTCTGCGTTGGTTTAAGTTTATTTTAAAGTCAAATATCTCAATTATTGCTTGAGATATTCAATTGAAACTTACAATAGTTATTTATAGTAACAATGTACATCAGATTGACAAGTTGGATAACTCTGCTTTACAATATTAAAAACTTCACATGCATTTAGGGTCATAATTGTACATGTAGGTTACTGACCAAGATCCATAATTTTATCGAGAATTTAGGCTTATTTTTCTCCCCTTTTTCAACTTAGAATTTAATGGTAAAGTTTTGCTTGTAAGCATGTTATCTCCATAACTACTGAAGGGTTTGTGCCTTTTTTGG